GACTTTGCTACTGATGTAGCGGCCAAACAGAAAGAACATTATAAAACCCTTAGCAGTCATCTTCATTGGCTCTCTTCACGTCGTGACGCAGGTGATGACGCGACCGATGAAATTAAAGAAGTGGAGGACGACCTGTACGAGCACCATCGCCGCAAGGCTGCTGGAGCGCGTTTGCGTGCCCGAGAACGTTGGGCCGAGGAAGGAGAGATTTCCTCGAAATACTTTTTTCAGCGTGAAAAAACACACGCTTTACGGGATATGATGAATGCGATCAACGATGTTCACGGTCGTATAGTACGTACTTTGCGCGGCATGTTGCATGTGTGGATGCTCTTTTATACTGCCCTTTTTTCTGCAGCTTACCTGGACGCAGCAGAACAAACTTTTTTCTTGGACAGAATCACCAAAAAACTGTCCCCAATGGAAGCAGCCCTTTGCGAAGGAGAGGTTACCTTGGAGGAGTGTACTGCTGCCCTAAACTCTTTTTCTACTAATAAATCTCCGGGGGTGGATGGCCTCACCTATGAGTTTTTTCGTAGCTTTTGGAATCTTTTAGGCCCGGACCTAGTATCGGTTCTCAATGCTTCCTTTCGTAACGGGAAACTATCTTTGTCGCAACGAACTGGTATCATCACACTGCTTTACAAGAAGGGCGACAAATTGGAACCTAAGAATTGGCGTCCGATAACTTTACTGTGTTCGGATTATAAAATCCTATCGAAAATTCTTACTGGCCGCTTGGCCAAGGTCCTCCCTAGTGTTGTTTCTCCGTGCCAAACATGTGGTATTCCGGGGCGTTTTTCCGGCGAAATCGTACGTTTGGTGCAGGATTGCTTGGATCATGCAAACTCATCAAATCTTGGGGGAACTCTGATATCACTGGACCAAGAAAAGGCGTTTGATCGAGTGGATTGGGACTTTCTACAAAAGGTCTTAATTACAATGAATTTCGGACCTTCTTTCCGAACGTGGGTTCGTTTACTGTATACAACTTTATATTCGCGTATATTAATTAACGGTGCTCTCGGGGGTCCTTTTTCTGTTTCCCGGGGAGTGCGGCAGGGTTGTCCCCTTTCACCGCTGCTGTATATACTGGCTGCCGAACCGATATCTCGTGCAATTCAGGAGTCACCCGACATAGCTGGCTTCCCATTACCCAATGGAGAAACTGTAAAAATATTACAATACGCCGACGATACTACTTGCTTCGTCATGGACGATGCCAGTCTGCTTGCCTTGCTTTCCTTTTGACCGGTATGCCAATGCTACGGCAAAACTTAACCTCGACAAAACAGAAGGTCTGCTGTTTGGTTCTTGGAAAACGAGGACAGACTTGCCAGTTCCTTTGAAATGGACCGAACACTTAATTATCCTGGGTTGTCGTGTGGGTAATAATGTCTTGCCGATTGGGACATCCTGATGAATAAATTTAAAACAAAATTGTCATCTTGGTCATCGAGAACCCTGTCTTTGCAGGGGAGAACTCTGCTTGCTAACTCTGTCGGTCTGAGCCTATTTTGGTATCAGGCTACGATCTTTGACATGCCCAAGACAGTTGTGCATGCAGTTAATAAACTTTTATTCCCTTTTTTGTGGAATAAAAAGAAAGAACCGATTGCGCGCAGCTCTGCCGTTGCTCCTCGTCTTCGGGGGGGTTTGGGAGTCGTGCATATTGCTACGAAAATTTTATCTTTGCGAGCAATTTGGCTTCGCCGTCTTTTGCTCTCAAGGAATACTGTTCCTTGGCCTTCCCTTTTTTCTGCCTATGTTCGCCAAGTCTTTTCACAAGACCTGGACGCCCTTTTTTCTCGGGAATCCATTCCCGCATATAAAATTAAACGGCTGCCCAAATTTTATCAATCTGTTGTGCATGCCTGGCTGCAATTGGGGGGACGACGTGAGGATGATTCGTGGTTGCTTGGGAACCATAACAACGCACCGATGCCGCTTACGGAGCTCACAGCCCGCCGTACTTACTCTGTGCTACTGGAGCGCTCCTTGTTACCTCACAAGGCTATTGAGAAGTTCAGCAACATGCAGATCACGGTACATTGGCCGTCTGTGTGGCGCTCTCTATCATTGTGGCGATTTGTACGATCGTGTGCAGATACGAACTATTATAACTTTCATGGCCGCTTGGCCACCGCGGATCGTTTGATTCGTTTTGGCATGCGAGTTGATGCGAACTGTTTCTGTGGAGAGCAGGAAACTGCAATCCACCTTTTTTACTCCTGTCCCGTCGCTAAGACCGTTTGGGCCTGGATGACCCCTCTACTGGTGTCTCTGGACGTACCAACGCCCCTTTCCATCTCCACCATTCTCTTCGGATTCCCAGACGCGAAGAAGATCCCTGCGGCCGTGAATGCCATTTTGGGCATCCTTCGTCATCATTTGTGGCTTCACCGCAATCGATGCAGGTTCGACCGTCTCTCTCCCGATGCCTCTTCGGTGTTGCGGAGGGCGAAGTCGACTTTCCGATTCGCGGTGAAAATAGAACATCGTCACTGTCTCCTGACCAAATTCGAAGATGAGTGGTTGCTTCGCGGCTTAGTTGGCACCATTGCTGAAGACAACACGGTATCCTTTTCCAAGGAATTTTTGTCTTGAATGTTGGTGATTTGTTGGACGGGTGCTGATGGGGGTCGCCTTCATTGGTTGTACTGCCGGATAGCCCGTTCGTCGTACGTTGCGTCGATTGCGTGGGGGCAGCTTGCTGTCCTTTTTCGCTATCTCGTTTCGTCTTTTTTCGTTCGTTTTGTCAAAGCTCTGGCATTTATGCCGGGGCTTAGTATCGTCGAAAGATCCTAGATCTTTCCTCTTTTGTTCTCTGTCGGTTTTGTCCGCGGGGGAGAGGTTCACAACCTCTGTCGATCTGCGTCGCTGGTAGCGGCCTCCCTGAGTGTACCGGTCTTGCACGTAAGGGTTCGTAGTCATTGCACCCCCGACTCCGTAACCTACCCGGTCCCCACCCAAAATAAGATCAAGTGTAGTTGCAGTACGCCCGGTACGCACAATTTTTCGCTCTAGGTTTTTTGGAAAATTTTGTAGTTAAACTCTACATTTTCCTATTAATTTTGGTATCAAAATATAGATAAAGTTGTTATCTTTCTTGTCATAAAGTTTATTTTCCATCTGGACATCGTATTAAAGAAGAAATTTTTGTTTTTTATCACGAAGTTTGGATTGACAACAAATTTTAATTAATTCAACTAACGGGAATTACTTCGTTCAAGTTTCTGGAGTTTTCATAAAGTTTTACCGCTTGGAATTTATACAAGAAGATTCCTTGGCAATTTCTCAACAATTTTGGAAAGTTTGGCAACTATACGTGCTGTACTTGTGGAGAATCAACGTTTTTTTATTTGTTGCGTGAGTACATTATCTCAACGACGGAATTTAAAACACCGCGCGTTATAAACGAAATCGCCGTTTTTCTTCAAAGATTTATTGGAATCTATATAATTTTTACCTTAAATCCTGCTTTATCGTCATCATATCATTGATCAAGATCTTCTTGAAGTATAAAACGGAGATTATCGTCGTTTCACAGTACATCTGAAAGAAAGGCCCGTTGCAGTTTGTATATCGGTTGCTACGGTTACGAATTTAAAAATCCGAAATTTGCATATATCGATGCGATCACAACCAGGGAATTCCCCATCTTATTCTACATCATTATACTGGCTTATCTCCGTTGCTATCGTTTTCTAATCGCGAGTATGTGCAGCCACCCGATAACATGAACTTTCAATGCAATCACTGTGAATTTACCACAACTGACCAACATGGACTGGGAGTCCACATTGCCAAAAAACACGAGCCAGTCATTCCATCGGATTGCAAGTCTGTTTCTATCGTCAGAACCTTCCCTGAAGGAAAACAATTTCACTGCTGCCTGTGTGACACTCTCATTGGTTCCTATAATAATCTAACTCGTCATTTTAAATCAAAACATGCACACATCAACATCGACGCCTCTGCAATGTGCATCATATGCAATAAATACTTTCCTACAGCAAAAGGTGCTGGTGTCCATTGTAAGAGAGAACACAACATTGGCTCCAAAGACAAATACCCCAACACACCCACACCTGTCTACTCATACGTAAACCAAAGGACAAAACACCATAAAACAACAACCACTCCAAAACGGCCCAAGGCTAAGTCACAACCAATCACTGATTCATCTCCCATATACATGAATTCACCCACCCTTTTATCTCGCAACATTAATACACTTAACCAAAGTCCCATCACTACAGACATGCTAACTGACATCACTAATTTACCACATTCCCGACCATCACTAACACAGCCCCAGTCAAACCTAGACAACATCCAAACATCACACTCACACATAAAATCACATCCCATCATCACACTAACACCACACATCAAAATTCCACTTATCCTCACAAACCCAACCAAACCATATAAGCCACCAGTTGTATCACTTCTCACCTCATCACAAATAACACCAAAACCCACTATTACACCCTCTCTCCCTACACCCTCGACCTTTCATTACACAATAATGTATTCGAACCTAGATCACAATCTAACTGCCAAACACAACTACACTTCACTCCTACTCACAACACAACTAACCCTTCGTTATCAGACAGCCCTAAGGCTCCATCTGAAGACGACCCACCTCCCATTATTCAAACTCATTCCTCAAACACCAAAAAACCATATCATCCATCGATCTCAACCCCAACTAACACAACACTACATTGTAACACCTGTTATCGACTCTCAACCAGTGGAATCCTCATCTGCCTTTCACGAAAAATGGATCGCTCACTTCTCCTCCACAACAACGTGGGAGGAATTTTCTCCTGATTACTAAATTCACTGAAGAAATTATTACCGTCACCAACCCTAATAAGAACAATATAAAGGCCCCAAAGCCGCCAAATTGTCCGTCTGCCAAGAGAGTAAACATTAACAGAAGATCTATCGCATTCGACCCAATAAAAGCACGCAAAATTCAAACCATGTACAAACTCTCTAAGAAGAAGGCTGCCCGCTCAATTCTTGATAACACGAGCCCTACATATTCTGGCACCGTTACTGAGGCCGAACAATTCTTCACTGAAGTATTTGACGATAAATCGTGCGATACGGATGCCCTATCTAATCTGCTAACTGAGCTTGTCCCCCAGATAGAATGTGGCCACAACCTCGACTCACTGATATCACCCGATGAGGTAGCTAAAAAACTTAAGACCATGTCTAACTCTTCCCGGTTCAGACAAAATACAGTACAAGCACCTAAGATCAATAGACCCCAAAGGAGAGATCCTCGCTAAAATCTTCAACCGATGTCTCACTGATCGCAACATCCCTGCGCAATGGAAGGAGTCCAATACCATATTAATACACAAAAAGGGTGATGCAAGTTGTGTCTCTAACTTCCGCCCAATTGCTCTGATGAGCTGCGTCTACAAACTCCTTACGAGCATAATTGCATCGAGATTGGTCTCATTCTCCATCGACAACGGTCTCCTATCTGACTCACAAAAAAGTGCTAGACCAAACGAAGGGTGCTATGAACACACATTCATCCTTCAATCTCTCATTCTTGATGCAAAACGGCACCAGAAGAACATCTACCTGGCTTGGCTTGACCTCAAGAATGCTTTTGGAAGTGTACCACACAACGTAATATCTACAACCCTGAAACATCTTGGCGTCCCTAACTCACTTGTGGAACTTATCATAAGCATCTACAAGGACGCCACAACCACAATCATCACGTCGAATGGGAACACAAAACCTATCCCGATCCTCGCTGGAGTCAAACAAGGCTGCCCCCTCTCGCCGATCTTATTCAATCTCTGCATCGAAATAATTCTTCGAGGTATTACTTCTAAAAACCATCAATTGGGTCCCGTAAAACACCACTCGTGCGAAATCTCGGTTCTTGCCTATGCTGATGACCTTGTTGTCTTAGCAAAGAATGAATATCAACTCCAGTCTCTCCTAAACAGTGCATCCAACCTAGCCTATACAATTGGTTTGGAATTTAGACCTGACAAATGTGCCTCACTAGCCATCACCTACAGTAAAAGAGTGATCGGTAATATACAACCTTCCACATTCATTGTCCAAGATAAACAAATTCCACACCTAGCCGAAGAAGAGCACTATAGATACCTTGGCATTCCAATTGGCCTAATTAGAGACTTCTCTTCAATCCAGAACCTTACCGATAATCTCTGCCGTGATCTTGAATGTATCAACAATTCTCTTCTTGCTCCATGGCAAAAACTGGACATGATTAAAACATTCATCCAACCATGTCTAACTTATGCCCTACGCAGGAGAACCAAAGCAGCATCCTTAATAAACTACCGTAAGAAATTAATCGAAGTGGTCAGATCAATATGTAACCTCCCTCTTAGAGCCACCACACACTACATCTTCTCTTCCATAAAATCAGGAGGACTTGGCCTTCAAGACCCGGCCGCTGAAGTTGACGTCCAGACTGTTGTCCAGGCAATAAAAATGCTCAGCTCTTCTGACAAAACTGTTGCGAATATCGCTAAACAAGAAATACTACGTACAGTCAGTTTTGCCAGTAGATCGGACCCTTCGCCTGCCCTAATTAAAGACTTCCTGTCTGGATCAACAACTGGTTGCTTCCACAAGGACGTTATCCGATATCGCACGCACTCTCTTTGGACTAGAACTCGAAATGCCTGCAGGAATCTAAACATAACTTTCGCTGTACCACCAAATGATCAACCTGCCATCTTTTCAACTAACAAAGGCCCTTGTACAGCCAAAGCTGCCTCTGCATTCTTACATCAACACGTGCAAAACATCTCAAGCACCAAACTATTGAACCTCCCTGATCAAGGCAAGGTAGCTTCCACGCTCAACAGAGACTGCTTTGGCAATGGCTCAAAATTCCTTAACAATGGTCTAAACATGAGATTTAGCGATTGGAGGTTCATACATAAGGCAAGACTAAATGTGGTTCCAGTTAACCAAAATAAATCCAAATGGAACAACACATCATCATCGTGCCGAAAATGCCATGACACCTCAGAAACCTTACCTCATATTCTCAACCACTGTAACACAAACATGGTCAACATCCGTAAAAGACATGATCAAATAGTCGATAGACTGGTTAATGCAACAAGATCGGGCACAATCAAAGTTGACCAACAAGTCGACGGCATTGAAGATGAATGTAGACCAGACATAGTTATTGAAGACGGGAACAATGTCACCATCATCGACGTAACTTGCCCGTTTGAGAACGGTACTGATGCGCTGTCAACCGCTGACTTCCACAAAATAACAAAGTACGAACACGTCAAACGCTACTTCCAATCTACCGGTAAATCCTGTAGCGTTCATGGCTTTGTTATCGGCTCTCTCGGTGCTTGGCATCCCAACAACGAAGTTGTCCTGTCAAAACTGAACATGTCCAACAACTATAAATCCCTCTTCAGAAAGCTGTGCTGCACCGATGTCATCCGTGGCTCAGCAGACATATACTACGATCATGTGAAATATGGCCTCACCTAAACTTTTCTCTATTTTCTTTTATCTTTGCTTTATCAAATTTTATGCGAACCTTAGGTTAAATTTACATACACTAATATATTATATATCTACTAATACAACCATAGTAATGATGTATTCTATACCCTAAAATTCCACCACTATGTCAATAGTACTCCTTATCTTTACCATGTAAATAATTTTACCTCTTGTGTAACTTTTCAATATGAATAAACAAATTTCTGTTCTTATCAGCTTAATATCTGATATGTCGGGCAATGCCCGACTCTTATATTAAACTGATTTTTGGATATCGGCCATGGGATTGGAGCTTGCTTCGCCCTGGCCACGGGTTGTCTCGGTATTGCACTACCTCCGAGTTCGGCCCATTTCCCTGCGGAAGGAAACACATTTACTTTAAACAAACGAAAAAACAAACAAAACAGCCAGCAAATCAAATAGCTAAGCGAATTTATTTTGTCTGTAACTAACTAACCGAGAAACGAACTGTTTAACATTTAACTAAATAACATACGTCTCTTTTCGACAGAGTCGGCGAAAGACGAAAAGACGTCGTCGCCGTCGGAAAGGAAGACAATAAAGGCCGTCAGACGGTACGTTGCAAGTGCAAAAAGTAGTGAAAAAGTAAAGGGAGGGGGTGCAACCGTGTCGCACAGAGCGTACGTTCGCGTACAAAGTATGCTCGCCGTGCGTCGTTCGAGCATACTTACCTGACGCGAGAGGCACCTTGATCAGCTAGGAGGTCCTCTCAGGATGAGGCCCTTTCATTGCACTTCGACTGGGTTGACTCCTGCGATTACCCTAACGTGGGTAACTCGAGCGTATAATTTCTGGTAGTGGGGACCTGCGTTCGCGCTCGTCCCTTCGTTTCTCACGATGGGAGGAAGAAGCGGAGAAAAGAACAAATAAAATAGAACACAATAGAGAGGGCCTTTCGTCCGTCAATTGTGTATGCCACGCTTTGGGACATATATAAATTCGTTGTTCGTTCGGGGTTAGGTTGCATGCTGCCAAATTTTTTACTGACCTATCCCAAAATGCATAGCGAGATGCAGGAGAAATTTATATCAGCTATTAGCAAGAATAAATTACTTGTATTTGACATAAATTACTTGTACTTAACAACGACGTAAACGGCCGGCGTGTGTATATTTTGACGGACGGCATATACATTATGAAAATATACAAATTATAATATGTATCGTCGACGTTAACAGTAATGATATTGCATTGCGAACGTTTTTCTTACTTAGTCGTACGTTTGTTTAGCTTTTATAGTAATTATTTCTATGTATCACTGACATTTAACGGCTCGTAGTGTAAAATTCGTTCATTGAGCTGCTTGTCTGCCGATTTCATGAAGCATGACCTTGTTGACATTGCAGCACTTGCATACAATGCGAATCATTATCGCCCACAAGCACAAAGCGTTTGTTTTACAATGAGAAAGCACGTCTGCAGCAAGTTCGCGACAGACATCGCGTGCTTCCTACGTCATATGAAACGATCGCATTTCGCGGCATTACGCGCGAATTTTCAAACATGTTCTTCTTTACGAACAGGTGTACATTGGATTAGAAAGAACGCTTGACATGACGATTGTAGTAAAGGATGATTCCTTCGTTATCCGTACTGCTTGATTTTTTTCATTTGTTGCATGATTTCTACGCGAAAAGATACAATAGAACCGTGTGTTTCTCATGCAACTTGTAGAGTGAAAAAATGGCGAAAGCTCTTCTTCTGTATCGCTTCTCGGCCTTTTGGCTAAGATCAAGTGTAGTTGCAGTACGCCCGGTACGCACAATTTTTCGCTCTAGGTTTTTTGGAAAATTTTGTAGTTAAACTCTACATTTTCCTATTAATTTTGGTATCAAAATATAGATAAAGTTGTTATCTTTCTTGTCATAAAGTTTAATTTTCACCTGGACATCGTATTAAAGAAGAAATTTTTGTTTTTTATCACGAAGTTTGGATTGACAGCAAATTTTAATTAATTCAACTAACGGGAATTACTTCGTTCAAGTTTTTGGAGTTTTCATAAAGTTTTACCGCCTGGAATTTATACAAGAAGATTCCTTGGCAATTTCTCAACAATTCTGGAAAGTTTGGCAACTATACGTGCTGTACTTGTGGAGAATCAACGTTTTTTTATTTGTTGCGTGAGTACATTATCTCAACGACGGAATTTAAAACACCGCGCGTTATAAACGAAATCGCCGTTTTTCTTCAAGATTTATTGGAATCTATATAATTTTTACCTTAAATCCTGCTTTATCGTCATCATATCATTGATCAAGATCTTCTTCGAAGTATAAAAACGGAGATTATCGTCGTTTCACAGTACATCTGAAAAGAAAGGCCCGTTGCAGTTTGTATATCGGTTGCTACGGTTACGAATTTAAAAATCCGAAATTTGCATATATCGATGCGATCACAACCAGGGAATTCCCCATCTTATTCTACATCATTATACTGGCTTATCTCCGTTGCTATCGTTTTTCTAATCGCGAGTATGTGCAGCCACCCCGATAACATGAACTTTCAATGCAATCACTGTGAATTTACCACAACTGACCAACATGGACTGGGAGTCCACATTGCCAAAAAACACGAGCCAGTCATTCCATCGGATTGCAAGTCTGTTTCTATCGTCAGAACCTTCCCTGAAGGAAAACAATTTCACTGCTGCCTGTGTGACACTCTCATTGGTTCCTATAATAATCTAACTCGTCATTTTAAATCAAAACATGCACACATCAACATCGACGCCTCTGCAATGTGCATCATATGCAATAAATACTTTCCTACAGCAAAAGGTGCTGGTGTCCATTGTAAGAGAGAACACAACATTGGCTCCAAAGACAAATACCCCAACACACCCACACCTGTCTACTCATACGTAAACCAAAGGACAAAACACCATAAAACAATCACTCCAAAACGGCCCAAGGCTAAGTCACAACCAATCACTGATTCATCTCCCATATACATGAATTCACCCACCCTTTTATCTCGCAACATTAATACACTTAACCAAAGTCCCATCACTACAGACATGCTAACTGACATCACTAATTTACCACATTCCCGACCATCACTAACACAGCCCCAGTCAAACCTAGACAACATCCAAACATCACACTCACACATAAAATCACATCCCATCATCACACTAACACCACACATCAAAATTCCACTTATCCTCACAAACCCAACCAAACCATATAAGCCACCAGTTGTATCACTTCTCACCTCATCACAAATAACACCAAAACCCACTATTACACCCTCTCCTCTCCCTACACCCCTCGACCTTTCATTACACAATAATGTATTCGAACCTAGATCACAATCTAACTGCCAAACACAACTACACTTCACTCCTACTCACAACACAACTAACCCTTCGTTATCAGACAGCCCTAAGGCTCCATCTGAAGACGACCCACCTCCCATTATTCAAACTCATTCCTCAAACACCAAAAAACCATATCATCCATCGATCTCAACCCCAACTAACACAACACTACATTGTAACACCTGTTCGTACGACTCTCAACCAGTGGAATCCTCATCTGCCTTTCACGAAAAATGGATCGCTCACTTCTCCTCCACAACAACGTGGGAGGAATTTTCTCTCCTGATTACTAAATTCACTGAAGAAATTATTACCGTCACCAACCCTAATAAGAACAATATAAAGGCCCCAAAGCCGCCAAATCGTCCGTCTGCCAAGAGAGTAAACATTAACAGAAGATCTATCGCATTCGACCCAATAAAAGCACGCAAAATTCAAACCATGTACAAACTCTCTAAGAAGAAGGCTGCCCGCTCAATTCTTGATAACACGAGCCCTACATATTCTGGCACCGTTACTGAGGCCGAACAATTCTTCACTGAAGTATTTGACGATAAATCGTGCGATACGGATGCCCTATCTAATCTGCTAACTGAGCTTGTCCCCCAGATAGAATGTGGCCACAACCTCGACTCACTGATATCACCCGATGAGGTAGCTAAAAAACTTAAGACCATGTCTAACTCTTCCCCGGGTTCAGACAAAATACAGTACAAGCACCTAAGATCAATAGACCCCAAAGGAGAGATCCTCGCTAAAATCTTCAACCGATGTCTCACTGATCGCAACATCCCTGCGCAATGGAAGGAGTCCAATACCATATTAATACACAAAAAGGGTGATGCAAGTTGTGTCTCTAACTTCCGCCCAATTGCTCTGATGAGCTGCGTCTACAAACTCCTTACGAGCATAATTGCATCGAGATTGGTCTCATTCTCCATCGACAACGGTCTCCTATCTGACTCACAAAAGTGCTAGACCAAACGAAGGGTGCTATGAACACACATTCATCCTTCAATCTCTCATTCTTGATGCAAAACGGCACCAGAAGAACATCTACCTGGCTTGGCTTGACCTCAAGAATGCTTTTGGAAGTGTACCACACAACGTAATATCTACAACCCTGAAACATCTTGGCGTCCCTAACTCACTTGTGGAACTTATCATAAGCATCTACAAGGACGCCACAACCACAATCATCACGTCGAATGGGAACACAAAACCTATCCCGATCCTCGCTGGAGTCAAACAAGGCTGCCCCCTCTCGCCGATCTTATTCAATCTCTGCATCGAAATAATTCTTCGAGGTATTACTTCTAAAAACCATCAATTGGGTCCCGTAAAACACCACTCGTGCGAAATCTCGGTTCTTGCCTATGCTGATGACCTTGTTGTCTTAGCAAAGAATGAATATCAACTCCAGTCTCTCCTAAACAGTGCATCCAACCTAGCCTATACAATTGGTTTGGAATTTAGACCTGACAAATGTGCCTCACTAGCCATCACCTACAGTAAAAGAGTGATCGGTAATATACAACCTTCCACATTCATTGTCCAAGATAAACAAATTCCACACCTAGCCGAAGAAGAGCACTATAGATACCTTGGCATTCCAATTGGCCTAATTAGAGACTTCTCTTCAATCCAGAACCTTACCGATAATCTCTGCCGTGATCTTGAATGTATCAACAATTCTCTTCTTGCTCCATGGCAAAAACTGGACATGATTAAAACATTCATCCAACCATGTCTAACTTATGCCCTACGCGCAGGAGAACCAAAGAAAGCATCCTTAATAAACTACCGTAAGAAATTAATCGAAGTGGTCAGATCAATATGTAACCTCCCTCTCAGAGCCACCACACACTACATCTTCTCTTCCATAAAATCAGGAGGACTCGGCCTTCAAGACCCGGCCGCTGAAGTTGACGTCCAGACTGTTGTCCAGGCAATAAAAATGCTCAGCTCTTCTGACAAAACTGTTGCGAATATCGCTAAACAAGAAATACTACGTACAGTCAGTTTTGCCAGTAGATCGGACCCTTCGCCTGCCCTAATTAAAGACTTCCTGTCTGGATCAACAACTGGTTGCTTCCACAAGGACGTTATCCGATATCGCACGCACTCTCTTTGGACTAGAACTCGAAATGCCTGCAGGAATCTAAACATAACTTTCGCTGTACCACCAAATGATCAACCTGCCATCTTTTCAACTAACAAAGGCCCTTGTACAGCCAAAGCTGCCTCTGCATTCTTACATCAACACGTGCAAAACATCTCAAGCACCAAACTATTGAACCTCCCTGATCAAGGCAAGGTAGCTTCCACGCTCAACAGAGACTGCTTTGGCAATGGCTCAAAATTCCTTAACAATGGTCTAAACATGAGATTTAGCGATTGGAGGTTCATACATAAGGCAAGACTAAATGTGGTTCCAGTTAACCAAAATAAATCCAAATGGAACAACACATCATCATCGTGCCGAAAATGCCATGACACCTCAGAAACCTTACCTCATATTCTCAACCACTGTAACACAAACATGGTCAACATCCGTAAAAGACATGATCAAATAGTCGATAGACTGGTTAATGCAACAAGATCGGGCACAATCAAAGTTGACCAACAAGTCGACGGCATTGAAGATGAATGTAGACCAGACATAGTTATTGAAGACGGGAACAATGTCACCATCATCGACGTAACTTGCCCGTTTGAGAACGGTACTGATGCGCTGTCAACCGCTGACTTCCACAAAATAACAAAGTACGAACACGTCAAACGCTACTTCCAATCTACCGGTAAATCCTGTAGCGTTCATGGCTTTGTTATCGGCTCTCTCGGTGCTTGGCATCCCAACAACGAAGTTGTCCTGTCAAAACTGAACATGTCCAACAACTATAAATCCCTCTTCAGAAAGCTGTGCTGCACCGATGTCATCCGTGGCTCAGCAGACATATACTACGATCATGTGAAATATGGCCTCACCTAAACTTTTCTCTATTTTTTCTTTTATCTTTTGCTTTATCAAATTTATGCGAACCTTAGGTTAAATTTACATACACTAATATATTATATATCTACTAATACAACCATAGTAATACGATGTATTCTATACCCTAAAATTCCACCACTATGTCAATAGTACTCCTTATCTTTACCATGTAAATAATTTTACCTCTTGTGTAACTTTTCAATATGAATAAACAAATTTCTGTTCTTATCAGCTTAATATCTGATATGTCGGGCAATGCCCGACTCTTATATTAAACTGATTTTTGGATATCGGCCATGGGATTGGAGCTTGCTTCGCCCTGGCCACGGGTTGTCTCGGTATTGCACTACCTCCGAGTTCGGCCCATTTCCCTTCGCGGAAGGGAAACACATTTACTTTAAACAAACGAAAAAAAACAAACAAAACAGCCAGCAAATCAAATAGCTAAGCGAATTTATTTTGTCTGTAACTAACTAACCGAGAAACGAACTGTTTAACATTTAACTAAATAACATACGTCTCTTTTCGACAGAGTCGGCGAAAGACGAAAAGACGTCGTCGCCGTCGGAAAGGAAGACAATAAAGGCCGTCAGACGGTACGTTGCAAGTGCAAAAGTAGTGAAAAGTAAAGGGAGGGTGCAACCGTGTCGCACAGAGCGTACGTTCGCGTACAAAGTATGCTCGCCGTGCGTCGTTCGAGCATACTTACCTGACGCGAGAGGCACCTTGATCAGCTAGGAGGTCCTCTCAGGATGAGGCCCTTTCATTGCACTTCGACTGGGTTGACTCCTGCGATTACCCTAACGTGGGTAACTCGAGCGTATAATTTCTGGTAGTGGGGACCTGCGTTCGCGCTCGTCCCCTTCGTTTCTCACGATGGGAGGAAGAAGCGGAGAAAAGAACAAATAAAATAGAACACAATAGAAGAGGGCCTTTCGTCCGTCAATTGTGTATGCCACGCTTTGGGACATATATAAATTCGTTGTTCGTTCGGGGTTAGGTTGCATGCTGCCAAATTTTTTACTGACCTATCCCAAAATGCATAGCGAGATGCAGGAGAAATTTATATCAGCTATTAGCAAGAATAAATTACTTGTATTTGACATAAATTACTTGTACTTAACAACGACGTAAACGGCCGGCGTGTGTGTATATTTTGACGGACGGCATATACATTATGAAAGTATACAAATTATAATATGTATCGTCGACGTTAACAGTAATGATATTGCATTGCGAACGTTTTTCTTACTTAGTCGTACGTTTGTTTAGCTTTTTATAGTAATTATTTCTATGTATCACTGACATTTAACGGCTCGTAGTGTAAAATTCGTTCATTGAGCTGCTTGTCTGCCGATTTCATGAAGCATGACCTTGTTGACATTGCAGCACTTGCATACAATGCGAATCATTATCGCCCACAAGCACAAAGCGTTTGTTTTACAATGAGAAAGCACGTCTGCAGCAAGTTCGCGACAGACATCGCGTGCTTCCTACGTCATATGAAACGATCGCATTTCGCGGCATTACGCGCGAATTTTCAAACATGTTCTTCTTTACGAACAGGTGTACATTGGATTAGAAAGAACGCTTGACATGACGATTGTAGTAAAGGATGATTCCTTCGTTATCCGTACTGCTTGATTTTTTTCATTTGTTGCATGATTTCTACGCGAAAAGATACAATAGAACCGTGTGTTTCTCATGCAACTTGTAGAGTGAAAAAATGGCGAAAGCTCTTCTTCTGTATCGCTTCTCGGCCTTTTGGCTAAGATCAAGTGTAGTAGCAGTACGTCCGGTACGCACAATTTTTCGCTCTCGGTTTTTGGAAAATTTTTATAGTGAAACTTTACATTTTCGTATGAATTTTGGTATAAAAATACAGATAAAGTTGTTATCTATCCTGCTATAATATTCATTTTCCTCTGGATAACGTATTATCGGAGAAATTCTTGTGTTTTATCACGAAGTTTGGATTGACAGCAGAATTTAATTAATTCAATTAACGGGAATTACTACGCTCAAGTTTCTGGATTTTTTCTAAAGTTCTATCGCTGGGAATTTATACAAGAAGATCCCTCGACAATTTCGCTACATTTTTGGAAAGTTTGGCAACTATACGTGCTGTACTTTTGGAGAATGGACGTTTTTCTTTTTGTTGCGTGAGTACACTATCTCAACGTCAATATTCAAAATATCGTGCGCTATAAACGAAATCGCCTTTTTTACTCAAGATATATTGGAACTTTTATATTTCTTACCTTATATCCCGTTTTATCGCCATCATATCCTTGATCAAGATCATCTTCGAAGTATAAAAACGGAGATTATCGTCGTTTATTAATTGAACCGAAAAAGAAAGTCCGTTGCAGTTTGTATATCGGTTGCTACGGTTACGAGCTTTAAATCAGAAATTTGCATATATTCGATGCCAATATTATCAGGGAATTCCCCATCTTATAATACATCAATCTACTGGTTTACCTCTGTCGCTATCGTTCTACTAATCGCGAGTATGTGCAGCCACCTCGATAACATAAACTTCCAATGCAATCAGTGTGAATTTACCACAACGGACCAACATGGTTTAGGAGTACACATTGCTAAAAAACATGAGCCAGTTATTCCATCAGACTGTGACTCAGTATCTATCGTCCGAATCTTTCCTGAAGGAAAACAATTTCACTGCTGTCTATGTGACACTCTCATTGGCACTTATAACAACCTGATGCGTCACTTCAAATCAAAACATACCCACATCAACATTGATGCTTCGGCAATGTGCATCATCTGCAATAAATATTTCCCAACAGCAAAAGGCGCTGGTGTTCATTGCAAGAGAGAACACAATATTGGCTCAAAAGATAAGTACCCACAACACCCACACCTGTTTACTCATATGTAAATAAAAGGACAAAACATCACAAATCAAATCACACTCCAATAAGAAACACATCAAAATTACAACCTACCACAGATTCCTCACCTATATACATGAATTCACCTACCCCACCATCAACTAACACTAATACAATAAACCAAAGTCATAAAAACATAGACCAGAACACAGACAATACCAAAGAAACACACTCACAACCACTATTGTCGCAACCTCACCCCAATCAACCCACAACTCCATCAACCTCACAATCTTCCTCGCTACCCCTGAGACATGACCCACTGCCCACAAAATGCTTTAACACACAAACGCAAAATGACAAACAAACACCACAATCCCATACACAATCCAATCCAAACAACACACTTACACCACACATCACGATCCCACTCACCCTCATCAACCCGATCAATAAAAATAAGTTACCACAATCAACACATCCCACTTCATCACAAACAACACCAAAACTTACTAAAACATCCACGCCTCCACCAACACTCATCGACCTTCCACTAGATAATGAAAAACATGAAACTAGACCACAACCCACCTGCCAAACACAATTACACTTCTCACCATCACACAACACACCGAATAATCACTGCTATCACATCCCCCCACCTCCACACGAGAATTCTTCAGCTTATCATGACGTATCAAGCAACTCTAACATAACCCCTACTCATACGCATCCACCAAATGACATAAGTATGTCTAATCATCAAAATCCAACAACATTCGTCAATAACTGGCAGAGTCGCTTTGCAACATCAACGACTTTTGATGATTTTCAACGTAAATGTGCTCTCTTCTCCGTGGAAGTAGTCGAATTAGGGAAATTTCTATCATCAAATAACAGAAACAAACATGTACCAGTAAGAAACCCGAGAAACAGACCAAAATCCAGATTAACACCATCCAATAGGAGACCACTACAAAATAACCCAATTGAAGCAAGACGCCTCCAAACACTCTACAAACTTTCTAAAAAACGTGCAACAAGAAACATAATCAAGGACAACTCCATAAACTACTCCGGCTCCAAAGAACGAGCAGAATCTTTTTTCGTGGACACTTTTCAACAAAGAACTATTGATACAGACCTACTACTCCAAACACTTAAAAAACAAGTCCCCACAACTAGCACCAATCACAACATCACCGATGAATTCACACAACAGGAGATACTACAAAAAACTTAAATCAATGTCTAATTCAGCACCAGGAAAAGATAGAGTAGAGTACAGACATCTGAAATTAGTAGACCCTAAATGTCAGATTCTCACCATAATCTTCAACAAATGCATGTCAGATCATAAAGTACCACAACTATGGAAAGAATCTACAACCATCCTCATTCACAAAAAAGGAGACAGCGATACCCCAGAAAATTTTAGACCCATTGCGTTAATGTCTTGCATATACAAACTCTTTACAGCCCTATTAGCCTCAAGAATCACTTCAACCGCCATCAACGAAGAACTAATGTCACCACACCAAAAATCAGCTAGACCATCAGAAGGATGCCATGAACATACTTTCACCTTACAAAGCATTATTGCAGATTGCAAACGAAGCAACAAAACTGTTTCATGGCATGGCTAGACCTTAAAAATGCCTTTGGCAGCATATCACATCAAGCCATATACACCACCTTACATCACATGGGTTTTCATGACAACCTAATCAACCTCATCAAAGACATATACACCAATGCTTCCACAGTTGTCAAAACCTCCACTTCAGATGAAACCAATTCCATTCCAATCATGTCTGGCGTCAAACAAGGCTGTCCATTAAGCCCTATCCTTTTCAACCTCACCACAGAACTGCTTATCAGATCCATCACCAATCATAGCGACACAAACCCTTCACTACCATATAACCTTCACAACGAACAGATCTCAATCCTAGCCTACGCAGATGACCTTGTAATAACAAGCAAAACTGCCGATGGCCTCCAGTCATACCTGAACATAATCACAGCCCAAGCTAACATTCTAAACCTTACGTTTCGTCCTGACAAATGTGCCACACTCGCCATCACATGCAAAAAGAACGAACCATCCAGAGTAAGCAACGTAACCTTCTATCTTCAAAACTCACCGATACCATCTCTCTCTCACGAAGAAACATACAGATACTTAGGTGTCCCAATTGGCCTCCTTTACAACCCTGAGGAAATGACAAACATTTCGGATAAACTGATACAAGACCTCATCAAAATAAGAGACTCTCTACTCGCACCATGGCAAAAACTAGATTGCATCAGAACATTCATCCAACCATGCCTAACCTATGTTCTAAGAACATGCCCAGTACCACGAAACTCACTTGAAAAATATAGATCAACCCTCGTCAAAGTTCTCCGATCCATCTGCCATCTACCATCTCGTGCTGCCACCTCTTATCTTTTTGCTCACCGTACTGCTGGGGGACTTGGCTTTCTCGACCCTTTCCTCGAACGTCATGTTCAAACAATTGTACACACCATGAAAATACTATCATCACCTGACAAGACAATCCATAACATCGCTCACAAACAACTCCAATCAGTAGTCTACAGATGCTTTCACCGCCAACCATCCAACGAAGAATTAGATGCCTTCCTATCAGGATCATCAGAAGGACCCCTTAACGAATTCTCTAAAACCAATAACAGCTCCACTCTCTGGTCCAGATGTCGACAAGCATGCAGAGCCCTAAAACTTCACATCTCTGACTCAAATCATGAAATCTCTATATCTGAAGACAACATCACTCACACCAAAGCTAAAAATGCCTCTTCCTTCTTACACAAACACATAACCAACCACCATGCCACTAAACTCAAAGAACTACCAGATCAAGGAAAAGTCGCGAGATGCATAAACGAATCTAACATCTCATCTGTAAACTCCTGGATGTTTGACGGAACGGGTCTCCGTTTCTGTGACTGGAGATTCATACACGCGCGAACAAACACACTCCCAACTAATGCTGCAAAGCACCGTTGGAATCACGCAAACAACGCTACTTGCCGTAGATGCCATACAGACAGCTCAAAAGAAACCCTTCCACACATCATAAATCACTGTCATCCCAATATGTCACACATAACCACAAGACACAACCTAATACTCAACCGCCTCAAAGACAACATAAAACATGGTACCACATCAATAGACAAAACAATCCCAGACGATCCTAATAAATCTCGACCTGATATAGTAATCTACGATGGTAATAGAGTACACATAATAGATATCACGTGCCCCTTTGAAAACGATTCAAATGCATTAAAAGAAGCAGCGGACAAAAAACAAGAAAAATACAATTACCTGATAGAATTCTTTACAAAACAACACCTGCAAGCTTCTATATCGGCTTTCGTCGTCGGATCCCTCGGTGCATGGTATGACCAAAACGAAAAAGTCCTGCAAGAAATAAGAATGCCCATGAGATTCAGGACCCTCTTTCGCAAATTATGTGCTGCAGATTGTATAAAAACATCAAGAAACATCTATGTAGAACACCTTACTGGTATCGAGCAACATTAGTGCTAGTGCATTAATGAACAACCTATATCTTTCGTAGAATCAATATATATATATATTTTTCATAGTTTCTGTTAAAAGAACGTTTTAATAGTAGTATAGAGTAAATAATATAGTTAATCAACAGTAGTATAGTAACATAACATGTAAAAGATGCATAAAAGCCATCATTTAACACAATTCTCCACATCCCACATCACAATATAAAACACAACCATCAAACATCACAACCATATCACAATTGTAAAAATGTAAATAATTATCTAACCAAAACCATGTATATTCTTTATTGCTAATAAAAAATCTCTGTTCTTATCAGCTTAATATCTGATATGTCGGGCAATGCCCGACTCTTATATTAAACTGATTTTTGGATATCGGCCATGGGATTGGAGCTTGCTTCGCCCTGGCCACGGGTTGTCTCGGTATTGCACTACCTCCGAGTTCGGCCCATTTCCCTTCGCGGAAGGGAAACACATTTACTTTAAACAAACGAAAAAAAACAAACAAAACAGCCAGCAAATCAAATAGCTAAGCGAATTTATTTTGTCTGTAACTAACTAACCGAGAAACGAACTGTTTAACATTTAACTAAATAACATACGTCTCTTTTCGACAGAGTCGGCGAAAGACGAAAAGACGTCGTCGCCGTCGGAAAGGAAGACAATAAAGGCCGTCAGACGGTAAGTTGCAAGTGCAAAAAGTAGTGAAAAAGTAAAGGGAGGGGGTGCAACCGTGTCGCACAGAGCGTACGTTCGCGTACAAAGTATGCTCGCCGTGCGTCGTTCGAGCATACTTACCTGACGCGAGAGGCACCTTGATCAGCTAGGAGGTCCTCTCAGGATGAGGCCCTTTCATTGCACTTCGACTGGGTTGACTCCTGCGATTACCCCTAACGTGGGTAACTCGAGCGTATAATTTCTGGTAGTGGGGACCTGCGTTCGCGCTCGTCCCCTTCGTTTCTCACGATGGGAGGAAGAAGCGGAGAAAAAGAACAAATAAAATAGAACACAATAGAGAGAAGAGGGCCTTTCGTCCGTCAATTGTGTATGCCACGCTTTGGGACATATATAAATTCGTTGTTCGTTCGGGGTTAGGTTGCATGCTGCCAAATTTTTTACTGACCTATCCCAAAATGCATAGCGAGATGCAGGAGAAATTTATATCAGCTATTAGCAAGAATAAATTACTTGTATTTGACATAAATTACTTGTACTTAACAACGACGTAAACGGCCGGCGTGTGTGTATATTTTGACGGACGGCATATACATTATGAAAGTATACAAATTATAATATGTATCGTCGACGTTAACAGTAATGATATTGCATTGCGAACGTTTTTCTTACTTAGTCGTACGTTTGTTTAGCTTTTTATAGTAATTATTTCTATGTATCACTGACATTTAACGGCTCGTAGTGTAAAATTCGTTCATTGAGCTGCTTGTCTGCCGATTTCATGAAGCATGACCTTGTTGACATTGCAGCACTTGCATACAATGCGAATCATTATCGCCCACAAGCACAAAGCGTTTGTTTTACAATGAGAAAGCACGTCTGCAGCAAGTTCGCGACAGACATCGCGTGCTTCCTACGTCATATGAAACGATCGCATTTCGCGGCATTACGCGCGAATTTTCAAACATGTTCTTCTTTACGAACAGGTGTACATTGGATTAGAAAGAACGCTTGACATGACGATTGTAGTAAAGGATGATTCCTTCGTTATCCGTACTGCTTGATTTTTTTCATTTGTTGCATGATTTCTACGCGAAAGATACAATAGAACCGTGTGTTTCTCATGCAACTTGTAGAGTGAAAAAATGGCGAAAGCTCTTCTTCTGTATCGCTTCTCGGCCTTTTGGCTAAGATCAAGTGTAGCTGCTAACAGACACGGTGACCTGTCGAGATCTGCTGTTTCGGAGTCTGCGCGTTGTTGATCGTTCGTTGTTCGTAATCATATTCAATATCGTCTTCAAAACTGTGAGTTCGTTCCTTGTTTGTAAATTGTTATATTTTGTATCTGTTTTCTGGTAGTTCCTTATTAGGGGGCCCATTTAGGGGGCAACCGAACAGGAGGGGGTCTTTCCTCAGTACTTGTTGCTAGGGTCTGGTCGGGGGGTGGTTTGGCCATCTTCTGACTCTTCAGTGTTCGTTCTTGGTTTTTATTTCGTGTGTTACCGCCATTTTGTATTCGGGAAGCTTTCTTCCTCGACTTATTTTTGTGAAGCTACAAGACTTCACGTGTGTTTATCTTCTATTTCGTTCCTGCTATAAGCAAGAACTACTATTTACTGCGTGTGTTCGAGATTATTTTACTACTCGAACGTTGTTTTACTTTACGAAACGTTCGTTAATCGAAGGTCGTTTGGACTCTGATCGGGCGTTGTTCTATTACTTCTTGCTCGTATTTTCTTGTTTTATATCTGCTTTATCGCTGCCTGATACTAATCAGTGCTGTTTATTCTTTCGTGTGCTTTGCTTGGACCTTTGCCGTTCAAGTTCTTATATATTTTTCGCGAAGCGCGTTCTTTGTTTGCTTCGTTTCTGCCTTAGTTTTACTAGCTTTGTTTATAGACTAGTGTATTCTGCCTGCCTCCCTTGTCCTACAGTGTATTAACTATTTGTACTGTAGACTTTCCTTATTATTTTTCCTTTGCCGTTATATTTTCGAACGGCGTTTAGATTCTTCGTGGGCGTTGTCGAGCATCTTTCCCTCGAAGCTACGCTCCTATTCCGAGTGTTACGTGCGCTGGTGGTTATATTTCGACTGGTGCTAGCGTGTAATTACCCTTTGACTGCCCTTTTGGTCTGTTTGGCCAAAGACCCTCTTTGCTTTGGTCGTTTTCTTCTGCTATAAGCGTCCCAATTTTTGTTTATCTGAATTGCATGCTCGTTTGCCTGCATTACTAAATTTTCATACGCCCCCGTTTGCTTATAATTTGTGAACGGACTAACACTAAACATTTAAAGATGATACCGTACGCGTCACGGACCGTAGATATCACCCTACATCCCGATTGCCCCCTGCCTAAAAAGGGAGCTAAGGATGTCATAAATTTACTAAAAGCGAGAGAGTTAACTAGCGTTGTTGAGGCTGTGGTTCAGCTGTCACCGGAGCGCTACCGATTGACTTTCAATCATGCCCGTCAAATGCATACTTTCTCAAACCAGGACTTTTTTATACATGGGAAACCGGTGGAATTCAAGTCCGTTTCCCCCTTCACCTGGGTACATATCTCCAGGCTGTCCTATGGCATCCCCGACGAGGCCATTACTAACGCTCTAGCCCCATATAGTGGAGGCATTAAATCCATGACCTCAGTGGTGCATGAGAATATTTATACCGGCGAGCACAACGTGCTCATGAAAATCACGGCCAACATTCCGGCACGTCTGCGCATAGCAGGACACTGGTGTGTCATAAAGTACAGCGGGCAAAAACAGGTCTGCTTTAGATGTCATAAGGAAGGGCACGTCATTGCTGACTGTCCGACCTACCTCAATAAAAATAATACCCATAATGCTACAACTAGTAGCAACAATACTAACAACAACACCGAGCGTTCTGCCTCTGTTGCGCCCTCACTGCCGTTGGTCTCCTATGCGGCGGTGGCGGGGAGCAATCTTCCGCTAGCTGCTCCCCTCGAGAGTGCCGAGGGGTCATCCGCCCCACTATCTAACCCCACTCACCAGTCACCTCCTGACTGCGCTTCCGGTGCTCCGGTCTCTTCCGCCCCTTCTACCCCTTCTGGGGAGGGTGGCACTGTTGGTAACAACGACCATCTAACGACGGTACCTTTTAGCCCGGTTCGACGACGGGGAAAGCGACGCCACTCCCCCATCCAGTCACCACAACCAGAGGGAAAACGAGCCACGCACGTCGGGACAGACGAGTTGGTTGCAGACGATGTCCTCGCACCCTTAGGATGCGACTCCATGGAGGAGTGTTCCTGGTCCGGCATCGCTGTAGAACAACCGATTAGCGACCTTGCGGTTCCTGCACAACTGAAGGCACGAGATACCACGGAATCCCATCCGGAGAATATACCTCTTCCCCAGGAAAACGATGGGAGGCTGGATGATGATGATCATGATGATGAAGACACTGAAACGGACATGGACAACGAGATTAACCAGACCACGGACGAGGACGAAGACAATGAGACTGAACACGGACAAACAACACCAATTACTACCAACGGTGATGATGACGATGGTATTGCACAGGGTTCGGATGACGACGTGATGGACCCTAACGACCACATCGACTTCGATGAAGATAACTATACAAGTGATGATGATGCCTCCTTTGCAACGGTCTCCGAGGCGGACATGCCCAATTCACCTGCCCCCCAGCAGACGACCATTTCAATAACAGAGAAAAACACCGATCCACACCAAATCGTACGTAATGAGCCTGCTAGTGCTGTGGCACACAACGCAGCCTCCTTGTTTAAATTGGCGGCAGTGCTTCCCACCCAGGGGGGCTCTCCCCGTTCGTAATCTTTCCTTGTTTGACATTCCCTTTTTGTCCTTTCATGTATCGCCTTTTTCCTTTTCTTTTTCACCTTTATCGACTTCTCAATGGCCTCCCCAAGATCATCACTCACAACTATTACGCTGAATTGTCAAGGCCTCCGTAACACTACACAGAGGTCCGTTTTATTTTCATGGCTCTCTTGTTTCAGTCCTACAATCGTCTGTCTCCAAGAGACTCACTCTATCAGTCAAGTGGAGTTTGACAAATGGCTCACTAAGGAAAATGACAACGGAAATAATAAGCCAATGTACAAAGTTCTCTCTTCGCCCGGTACGACCCGTTCACGGGGCGTCGCTGTCCTTTACCATCCATCTCTCACAGTTCTCCACTCGT